CCACCTCTCAGTTCCCACCTGCTCTCGCATCCTCATCTCACGCCTCCCATTTCTGATCTCCGATTTCCTGCCTCCCATTTCAGACCTCCGGACTCCACCTTCCATCTCAGATCTCCTACATTTTTCACGACTCTTGTGCAAAAAGACTTTTCAGCAAATCACCCGCTGTCAAGCTCACTGCAAAACGTGGATTTTTGAAAATATGAAAAGGGGGCTAAACCCTTGACAAACCTGGAGTCGTTAAATGTGGAGTCATCAAAGCATGCTGAAAGCTGTCCTGAAATGGTTTTCACGTATTACGGCAGCAGATGCAGTACCCAGGGCTCGATCCCTAGACCTCCCCCTCACCCATGTATAATACCCGTGGACCCGTGTGTGTTTGAACCTGCGGCCTGTGTTCTGAAAGTCGTATGCTCAATTGTTGTATATAGTGTGGTCGTGGGGTCTTGAGTCGTAGGTCTGAGTTTTAGAGGTCTCAGTAGTAGCATAGGTTGTAGCTGCTACAGTTCCGAAAGGTCAAGTCCACGACCTTCCTGAACTTTCGGAGTGGCCTTTCGTAAGTCTTAGAGTCAGTGAGCGTCTGAGTCAGCAGAGGACAGTCCGCCCCATCACCACTTTCTGGCACAAGGACCTTGCAAAGGCTGGCACAAGGACCTTGCAAAGGGCAAGCAGTGGAAGGGTCGGACCATCTCAGGCCAAGTTAAGGCCAAGGATAGTCTCATTCTTATGATGGAGGAAGGTGGTCTGGAAGAGGTCCCCTACGGCGAGATTGAGTGGGGCCTGGATGATTTAGACAGTTGTGAAGGGCAGGGGAGTTCCTATGCTGCTTTCGCGGCCGGAGGGAGGGCGCAAGGAAGAGGAAGAGGCGAGGGCCAAGGGGACGAGGCCTCGCGTGGTCGAGGACAACGTGGCCAGGGGGTTGGCGACAGGGGAAACAGCCAAGCGGGAGGTAGGTGTCAAGGTCCCCCGTCAAACCATCCTCTTTCCAATTGGTCACCTCCCAGAACGGGTGGTTGGCACCTAGGTTGGCCTGAGGGCCGACCCTGGGAATCTTTGGGCATGGAAAAGAAAGACTGGCAAGACACAATAGGTAATTGGCAATGCGTGTTCTGCGGTGACCCTGGGCATCTCAACAAATTTTGCCTGAAATATAGGAATGCCCGAAGAGCTGCTGCAGAGTCAGCAAAAGGCAACCGCCGGTAGGGGTAGCAGCTTACCTTACCCCTAGGCCATGTGGAGATGAGTGCGCGTGCCAAGTAGAAACTCCCACTCCATGTGTGACTATGGCACAGGTTGCAGGCCAGAGTCTAGTTAGCTGTTCGAAGACTGCTTGTGTCAGAGTTTCTCTCTGGGCACTTCCCTCACAGGCCTAGCAGAAGTTAAAGGAGAGGACGCCGGCTTGGGCCAAGATGAAGAAAGAAGGAAAATGGCAGTTGTTGTTAGCAGATGTAGAGGTCTTTAGAGGCAGAGTAGGGCCCTTTTAGACAGTGGGGCTACCCTTAATTACATTACCCCTAGGCCATGTGGAGATGAGTGCGCGTGCCAAGTAGAAACTCCCACTCCATGTGTGAGTATGGCAGAGGTTGCTGGCTAGAGTCTAGTTAGCTGTCCGAAGACTGCTTGTGGCAGAGTTTCTCTCTGGGCGCTTCCCTCACAGGCCTGGCAGAAGAGTTAAAGGAGAGGACGCCGGCTTGGGCCAAGAAGAAGGAAGAAGGAAAATGGCAGTTGTTGTTAGCAGATGTACAGGTCTTTAGAGCCAAAGTAGGGCCCTTTTAGACAGTGGGGCTACCCGTAATTACATTAACCGCAAAGCGCTGAAAAAGTTGAAGCTTATTCTGGAAGTCCAAAAGTTAGAAGAACCTATAGTTAGTATCCTCGCAGATAATCGCATGATGCGAGTCGAGGATTATGTCGAGGGAGTTCAGAGGTGCTTTCGCCTAGAAACATATGGGAAGGTAGAGAGAGTTCTCCATTCCCTGACTCTCCTCATTGAGGATGATCTCCCTTTCGATATAGTATTACGAATGGATTGGGGAGATGCAGCAGGAGCCACTCTGCATTTGCACGAGCATGAGTGTAGGCTTCCTAGTCCTTCAATTGGCATTAAGAAAGCCCGCGTGTTTCATGTGTCAGAAGTAGACGACTCCCTAGCACATTGCTGTCTCAGTGTGCCTGCATTTGCGCGATTAGTTAAAAAGGCAGTTAGAAGAGCAGGTCTTTGTGACCTATGTTAGGCCTGTCACTGAGCCTAACAAAAAGGAACCTACCAACCTTGTAATTGCCAAGCTGCTGGAAGCATACGCAGATTTGTCAGAACCTCCTTCACGAGTAGTTCAGCGTCCTATCCAACATCGCATGGAGATAGAGCCTGGCACTAGGACTCCCAAGGGAGCAGTCTATGGGATGTCTCCTAAGGAATTAGATGAGCTGCGCAAGCAATTAGACGAGCTCCTCGAGAAGGGTTGGATTAGGCCCAACTCGTGTCCATTTGGAGCGCCTATTCTCTTTGTCCCCAAGGAGGAGGGAGAGTTGAGATTGTGTATTGACTATAGGGGTCTGAACGCAGTCATGATCAAGAATGCAGAGCCACTGCGCAGAATACACAAGAACCAAGCTCTTAGAAACCGCTTCCGACAAGGTCCTGTGAGTATTCTCGGAGGACCTCGAATTTAGGACGGCGGGAGTGAAACGGTTTTCGCCTATTACGGCAGCAGATGCAGTACCCACGGCTCGATCCCTAGACCTACCCTTCACCCATGTACAGTACCCGTGGACGCATGTGTGTGCAATGACTTGCTGATTTCGAGTGCCGAGACTGATTGCGAGGCTGTACAGTAACAGCGGTAGGTAAGATTTGTAATTTTGTTTGGCTGAGGGCTAACCGAGAGACCTACCTGAACAGGAAATTCATGAGGGACATATCTGCAAATATGGGAAATATAGGCCCAGCACTAACCCGAATTTCTTACAGCTACCCGCACTGCGTATAGCAGACCCGGGCTACCCCTAGGACGGACAGGCCCAAAGGGCCTATACCGATAGACGGTCCTATACCGATAGACGGTCCTATAGCCTATAGCCGGGTAGGTAGAGGCCGAGAGGCCGAAACTGGATTGGTACCGGTCGGTCCAGTCAGTCAGGTTTAGGCCTAGGCTAGAGTAGTCTAGAGCTATTAATAGTTTAGGGAAATCGGTCCAGGGCTTTTGGCTGTTCATTTTCGCGAAGCAGCGTTTGGAGCAAGCAAGTTGGCGGTGGCAATTGTCTGCAGGCGGCATCCTGAGACCCTTGCCTAGGACGGCGGCCATAGCTGGCCCTTCTGAAGGTTGCCGGAGCTGGGGCAACCTCAACGCATCTACCCCTGGGGGTATCTGCGTCTGGCCAGGCTATATCGAGGCTCTTCACTGAGTGTGTGGGTGGCGGCAGCCATAGCTGCCGGTTTCTTCGTCAGAGTTGTCCATCGGCACTGAAGACTCCATCGCAGGATCTGTTCTTCATCTGGGTGGTTGGCGCTGGTCTCTGGGAGGCTATTTCACTGTTGCGCTACTAACTGGGTGTAGGGTAGAGAGTGGAGTGTGGGGTTCTGAGTGGCGAGATACTGGAACAAACTCTGTATCGATATCTGGTTTTAATTGGCTTTTCATCAGTGTGAATTCCAATTGTTATCCTCGCAGGTTTCTTCTTGTGATTGGTTGTTGGGAGTTTGTCAGAGAGTGAGAAACACGCGGTGTCCTCTCCCTATCTGTGCATGGCTGAAGTTTCGCTGTTTACTCTGATCTGTGTACAGTTGGACTCTGTCTCCTCTCCCCCTTCTCTTGTGCATGTATGGGCGTGTATGAGACTGTCTGTGTGAGTGGCGGTACAAATCGTCAGACAACCAAGTTCATGACATGTGTTTGAATCTGCGACCTGTGTTCTGAAAGTCGTATGCTCAACTTTTGTATATAGTGCGGTCGTCGGGTCTTGAGCCGTAGGTCTGAGTTTTAGAGGCCTTAGTAGTAGCATAGGTCTTAGCTGCGACAGTTCCGAAAGGTCGAGTCCACGACCTTCCAGAACTTCCGGAAGCGGCCTTTCATAAGTCTTAGAGTCAGTCCGCGTCTGAGTCAGCAGAGGACAGTCCTACCACAGTCAACAAAGGGCAGTCCCTAGTCCTACCTAGCCTAGTCACCGGTACCCAGTCCCGGGGTGCACGTCGTCTAGTCAGCAAGTACCATGTGGGACTGTGCACACCCGGGGCCCAGAGTCAAAGGGCAGACCTGTGACGATCCGAAGTATAAATAAAGAGGCAGCGTCAAGTCATTCATTTATTCTGCCTGTGAGCCGTGTGGAAGCGCTGTCGGAGTGTCTTGTGTACGAAGGTCTGCAGGTGCCCGAAGAGGAAGAGGGCTAAGAGGAGAACGACGCGGCCATAGCCACAAGTTAGTGATAGGTGGTAGACGACAGCCATAGCTGTCAGTTAGGAGGTTAGTAGATGTGTGTGTTGTGTGTGTGTGCGGGACATCCGGGGAGATCCCTAGTGTGTGTGTGTGTGTGTGTGTGTGTGTGTGTGTGTGTGTGTGTGTGTGTGTGTGTGTGTGTGTGTGTGTGAACAATTTGCTTGGGGATACAGTTGATCAGTTGGGAATCTTTGTCTGGCGCGCAGCGCCATAGCCGTTCGAGACAAGTTGGAATCTGAACTGTGTTCCTGGCTACAGTTATCTCTGAGCTTGGTGTGGGCGCTATGCGCCAGGTTTGATCGTCGGCTGTTTTCATGCATGCTGAGCTTGAAGAAGACAAGTCTGATTGCAGTCCTTCAATATCTGCTGGCACATATGTACCTGTATCCCTCCATTTCTACATCTCTGCTCTCGGATCTCTTATCTCAAATTGCTGTTTTACCGTTTCTCAGTTTGCTCTTTTACCTGTTTACGTGTTTATGCCTCAGTTCTCCTCGTCCAAGGAAACTGGATTACTACCCTCATACAAGAAAACTCTGTCGATTGTTACCGTCTTCTCCTTTGCAGGGTTGCAATGATGGTATGATCAATGTTCGCTTCTCGAGGTTGAATTTGGTCGATTTGGCAGGTTCCGAGCGGTGAGTTGCTGTGTTCACTTCTGAGGATTTACATCCGAGCCCTACACTTTTTGTAGTGTGATCACTAATACGTACCATAATTGTAATGTTCAGGCTCTGCTGATCTCTAACTGTCAACCATTATCATCGTCATGATCACCATCAACACCACCACAAACCATAATCGTGAAGTTCAGGCTCTGTTGATCTCTAATTGTCAATCATCATCATCATCATCATCTCCATCATCATCATCATCATCAACAACAACAACAACAACAACAACAACAACAACATTGTGTGGCACACCATGATTGTCATGGATGCTTTTTCTCACAATGGTCACGAAGGTCATCGTCATGTAATGATCACAAACTCTTTTCCCCAGACACCAGACAGTTGTATTTGTAATGTCATCATCATTGTCATGCTTTTTCTTCCAATAAAGACTTTTATAATCTGGATGGCCATTATTCTGTCACAGCAGAAGAAGCTGTCAACACCAATATTGAACGGTTGTCCGGTAAAATTTTCACAATCCGGATGGTCATTATTCTGTCACAGCGAGAACAAGCTGTTAGTGCCAACACGGAACAGTGGAGGTAACCATATGTGTGTTTCATGGTTGTAATGGCCGCGCTTTTCTTGTCACATGGAGTTGCATGTTGTCATTGTTAGATTTCTAGAGATGCAAAGACTTCATTGTCATCGCAGCACAAGGATCACCATGGTTAGGATTTTCATGCCCAAACACAGTTCTGGTCCCATAATGGTTGAGTTTGGCCATGGTAATGCGCTGCTTTGTCGCACCAAGTTTTTACACATGGTCCAGTTATTTGCATGGGCCTTTCAGTCCGCATTGGATGCATAACGCTGTATATGTATGCGAACCTGTTATTTGAGAAGTTTCTTGGTTTGGTTGAGGATTGATATTGCATAGCCCTCGGCGGATGAAGAAGTGATGATTTTCTTCCATAGTCCATCTATCTGGACAGGGGTGTGGATTATCTGGATGCTGCTATGTGCCCTGTTTGGATATCCGAAGTTTCTAACCAAAATTGAGAAGAGGAATAACGAAAAGAAAACAAATGTTCATTTATATATATCGTTGAACAGAACTGCCTGGTGAACTGTAGGCAGAGGGGGAGAAAAGGACAACAAATGAGGAGCTTTGACTGCATTGAGCCTCACTGCTCGTCACCTTGAGCACACACACACAATGAGAGATCACACGAAGTCCACACTGGAGACCAGAGATGCTAAGTCCAGGTAGGCGCAGCTTAGAATTTCCAACAAATTATCATATTAGGCAGTTACAGAGTTCTAGTCACCAGCGCTCATCAGCGCAGAGTTCAGCAACCCAATTCCAGCAATCCTCATCCAAGGTAGGTGACCCTCCTCTCTCTGTCCCCCACTCTCTCTCTCTCTCTCTCTCAGCCTTCTTCATGCATGCGCTCACTCTCTCTCTCTCTGCTCTCACTCTCCCTACTTGAAGATCTTGACTCTGAATACATCCGCCATCACCTCACTCTATCTCCTACTACTAGCTATGCGGCTATGGCCGCCTTCCTTCCTCAATGCAGCGCTGCCCAGCAGGGCTGTCGTGCATGCTACTCGCAGATAGTGCACAAACACTTCAGCAGCACTTCCACCCTTCTCACGAATGAACAATCTCCCTGAAATGTGGCTGGCCAGTCCTTATATAGACGTGGACTGAGCCTAACTTGTCCCAGTCTCTGCTTCGTTTGTCTTGACTTGGACCCGGTACCACATGCCCACGACCTGCTTGCTTCAGAATGTCAAGGCCTGGTACCACAGCCGCCCACTGCCCCACCAGCCGGACAGCAACAACCTTGGTACCCCAAGACCCCATTGAAACCACCCTCAACCTTCTCAGGGGATAAGAAGGATGAGGCTCTGGACACTTGGTTGAGAACGGTGCCAGTGTGGGTGAGGGCGAAGAGGACGTTGGTAGAGGAGGAAGTGCTAACTGCCGCATCATATCTGGAGGGTTCGGTCGAGCCTTGCTGGCTGAAAAGTTCTTGATGTCTGTGGGAAACATCTCACGAACGTGGTCAATAAGACCTGCGGATCATAGCGTACCCCGGGAACGACAATCAGGCGCTCGACAGTAGAGGTGAGCTCGCGCACGGACTTGTACTTCTTTGTATCAAGTCGGGTCAACCCATCAGTGGCAATCTGTGAATGCTGTGGGTTGTGCCAACGCGCTTCCACCAAATCCATAAAGCTCTCTGGGTATGGGTCTTAGCCCCTACTATCGCCAATTTGTTGAAGGAGTGTAAGGATTTATCTAATGCACCCTCAGGGGTAGTGCCAAGACCCATTCAGCATCGCATAGAGATAGAGCTTGACAGTAGGACACCTAAGGGAGCAGTCCACAAAATTTCTCCGAAGGAGTTGGAGAAGCTGCGTAAGCAATTAGAGGAGCTCCTTGAAAAGGATGGATTCAACCTAGTTCGTCTCCTTTTGGCGCACCTGTTTTGTTTGTTCCCAAGAAAGATGGAGAGCTAAAAATGCAGAACCATTGTCCCGCAAAGATGACTTGTTGGATCGGGTGCCAGGCTGTAAGTACTTCACCAAGATAGATCTGAAGTCAGGGT